GAAACACAAATGTGTCTGTGAATTCAGAGAAAATAATCTCAATCCCAGAGATGGTTAGTGGGCATAGCACTACAGAGACCTTCACAGCCTACTCAAATAGTAAAATGTCTAAAATGTCTGTCTCCTGAGCTTTTAGCCAGAAGTGTCCCTTGTTCTTGGAAAGGCCACACACAAAGATGTCTGGGCTTGGCTTGTGTGCACTCCTGTGGAAACGGCTATGAAACTCAGCAAAAGCAAGCTTTTAGTCAGGTGGTGTGACTCCAAAATGGCCTTCCAGGGTCTTATAGTAGAGATACACCATGATAGAAAGAGAATGCACAAGTATTTTAAACCAAAAGAATGAATGTTAAGTTTAACAGAGATTTTTTTCATTTCCCCCCACCCTTTTTTTTCAGCCACTGCTACATGGTTGGCACCTAGAAAAGGTGTCAGCTAACTACTGCGTACAGGCCAAATCCAGCTGGTGGCCTTTCTCTGTATGGCTGATGTAACAAACGGTTTCTATATTTTAAAAAGTTTGAAATGATAAAAAAAAAAAAGATTCTATGACACATAATTAAATGAAATTCAAATTTCAGTAGTTTTACTGAAACACAGCCATATTTGTTTACATTTTCTGAGGGCTGCTTTCACATGCGAGGATGGCAGATTTAAGTAATTGTGATGGGGACTTCATGACCCACAAAGCCTTAAATATTTGTTATGTGGCCCTTTCCAAGTTTGCTGACTCTTGACCTAGAGCCCATGACTGCATCACAGGCACTGTAACTGAATAAATGAACCTGTCGTATGCAATGGAGCAATGTTTCAACTGCCTATGATGATTACAGACTGCCAGCTGAGGGACCAATCAGAGCAGTGAACTGATTTACTAGGCTGCTGTTCTCACTGGAGCTCCCTCACGCTTCTGAGATACAATTTTCTTTCAAGTATATAAAACTAAAGGTCTTTACATTTAGAGTATACAGTTACTTGTTTGCCTTGGTTCTTTCTCTTAAAAATCCTAAGACTTTTATGAGGTTCTTCCAAAAGGCTTCTAAATATCTGGTATGGACAATAATGCAAAAGTCAATTCATTTAGTGACGTCCCTAAAATCTTCAGAGCTTCAAAGTATTTTACTCAGCAATTTACTCACCAAACCCTATCACATTTGGGAACTTGACTTTGGAATTTGAGAATCCCGACCCACTCTCAACCCAAGATCTTCTTGAGAATTTGGGCACTAAGGAATTTGCTTTTCAAACTGGCAAAGAACAAATGACATATGAGAATTGAGAAGAAATTAAAATCATCACAAAAGGAGAGATTCTTGATTCTTCTATTGAGATGCTGTAGAGAATAAATGTCAGTGACTAAATCACAAGAGTGACTACAGACTTTGCATCATCTTATCAAGATTTTCAAAATTTACGGAGCTGCAGTATCAAGAAGTAGAATTTAAGAGATAAATTTGGAGTGAAGAGATTTACCAACCTTTGCAAAACCATAGTACTTCTTTGTGACAAAGTTGAGACTGGAATGTCAATCTCTAAACTCTGTATCCTTTGTTTTTAAAAAAGTAGATCACTGTGATTTCCTGTGTGCTTCTTCAGCTCTCACTTCCACAATACTGTCTTGCATATATATATATATATATATATA